CAACTGACAATAAATTATTATTTTACTATGGTAATTTTTTATCATATTAAGTCCATATTTAACTCATTTTGATACAAATAACTACATATGTAATTAAATATTTTATTTATTTTTAGACCACATAAATCTGTTCACTGGTCATAATTATCATTTTCACAAAACTTTCTTTATAAAGAACTCTCCAATTAACAAACTTTCCACATGTTAGATCCCTGGAATTTGTTCATTAGTTTATTATAGTAAGCTTACTTTCCGTCTGCAGGAGAAAAATACATATTTGCATTGAAATTTGGTCCTTAATTATTCTTTAACCATTTGGATGAAACAATTATGCAAATATTGACATGCCATGTTAATTTCATTTTTTAAATTGTTGTGTGACAGTGTTTCTTACTAATTAAATACACTGTGTATGCACTATAAAAATTGATAATATCAAAAGAATTGTGTGTAGAGTGTGATTTATGTCAGTGCTTAGAGGGAATTTTTCTGGTTTCGTATTGTGTGGGTTAATATATTGAAATGATACATTAAATGTACTACATTAATTCATACATTCAAATTGTTTTTACCACTATTATAGTTCTCTTGGAAGCCATTGTTAAAAAAAGTTTTATCTTCCCACAACCACTACTAAAAGTAGCTCTTGCAGGGCACGCCTGCATTAGTGCTAAAAGTGAAATGATGCTCAAATTTTCTGATAAATCTGTGAATGCAAGAAAGAAAACAAAATACTTTCATCTGCACAGAAGGACCAAAATAATCAAAATGACAAAGGAACAGAGGAGGCAAAAGGGACAAAATATCAGTAAGGCTGTCTAAAAAATAGTGAATGACACATGGTAAAAGTGCTTTTATTTTACTCAAAGGATTGCACCACTCAGCCTTATTAGCCAAAAGGTCTCTTATACCACTGGTGTCATAAATAACTATTTTATCATGTCAAAAACCAATAGTTTTCAAAAAGAGAAAAACAAGAAAAATAATTCCTCAAATTGAAGACTTGTCTATTAAGAGGAAAGTGGAGTTTCTGAAGGAAATATCATCCTAGTATCCTAGTGCTTCAAAATAAAATATAATTACTAAACATAATTTTTAAGTTACTTCAATGAATATTTTGATAAAATTTTTGTAAGATTATGGATACGTCTTAAATCACATGAATGTTTTAATTTGCCTACAAAAAATGGAGTTTTTAAATGTTTTTGGTATAATTTTCTTTACAGCAGATTTTTTCAGAATTCAAAAATTTAAAACACAATTGTGTTCCTTTTGCTCAGAAACTATTGAAATTACATCATCAAATTTTAATAGCATATTTTTATCAAGTTAGCATACATTTGGACCAGAACGCATCAATAATACCCAAATTTGGTAATTATTTTCTTTTAAACTGGAAATATGAAAACTGAAGTAACTGGTGGATTTTTTTAAATTTATTTATTTTAAGTGCATCACATTAATTAAAGATCTCAAAATGAGGGATCAATTTATGACTTTACTCTTGGAGGTGTGGAACAGGTTTGAAAAATAAATCTGAACTTTTGGAATGCTCAAATTTCTGAGATTTTTAGTGAAAATTGAAACACTACCGTATTTATGAAGGCTTTCTTCCATTCAAATGAAATTTGAATGCTCAAATTTCTGAGATTTTTAATGAAAATTGAAACACTACCGTATTTATGACGGCTTTCTTCCATTCAAATGAAATTTGAAGCCATTTTCCAGAAAATTTTGAAAATACCCAGAGGTTTTATTAATCTACCATGAAAATTTAAAATATCTTAAAGAATTTCAAAATGTAACCACTAGATATTACTTCTCATGTATTCACCCAAGTTGTAGCAAAAAAAACTTCTAATCTGACAGAGTAATGCGAGATATAGACATTATGATTTTAGGGTACAAAATTGCATGTACTGCAAAGCCATATGCACTAATCTTAAACATCTTTTGAACCAGGAACTTAATCCTGACTTGTGTGAAGTTACAGCTCAAAACTACTTTAAAGAGATTTTTATGATCAAAACTTCGAGATCATTTTGTTACGGTGAATTCAATACTCTTCCTCCTTAAATTATATAAGAGAGATAATAAGTAAAAATAGTAAGTAAAAAAAAAAAATTACTTTCCATGAACACATTTTTCTAGATTAATTAACACATCATTGTGTTTACACGATTGATTTTTACATTACTATACAAATTTTATAAACTTGCGTAGTACAGCTTCTGAGAAAGAAGTACATAAATATATGAAGTTTAACACTGACCATATAGTTATTTTATTTCACCTTGAAGAAAACTAATGTTGTTTTTTACCAAAATCTGAAATTGTGTTAAACTTAACTGTTTTTACCCTTCTGAACAAGATAAACTTTAAACTTTCTAAACAGAACAATACAGAGAAGTGACAGCAAAATGTATTTAAGTATATACACTAAATATTGGTGAATGTACAGTGGACTATAAAGTAGTAGATGCAGAAAATGTTCAGAGATGGAAAAGTAGACAAATGAATTGTTTTGAAAATTGTTGGCAAAGTACCAAACCAACCTGACCACAAAGAATGAGCTTCATATTAAACACATTAAAATCAAAGGCATTAAATATATTCACTATTCATCAGATATAGCAGAATACTAATTTCGGAATAAAATTCTTAACTGACAGAGCTTGTTACTTGCAATACACTGCCTCGAGAAAATGTCCAAAACAAAGAAAAAGATACATTAAATATAATAAAGGTGGAAACATTTTCTACAGAAATATAATAAAATTGAAAAAATTATACAAAAAGAATGATTTACAATTTGTTTTTTATTATAAGAATATTTTGTCAGGATATCCTTGGAAAAACTTAGTTTGTATCTGAACACAGCGTTCCAGTGAATCCAGGTTCCATCACAGTTGGTAGAACTCTCTTGACCCCATAACATTTACATGTGTTTCCTGTCATGTTCCAGGAATATGGTGTAAAGCAAGTGAAGATAATATCTTATTATTAAACAATTATGAAGGCTTACAAAAAATCACATACCTCATTTAAAGTAATAGGAAAATATCATTTTCCAGACATATCTGCAAAATATTACAGCACAAACCTTCATGGAACTTGGCCACAATCTTCTTTTACAATCATTGGTTTATTTTACTGCCTCTGAAAATATGATTCATTGCATTACCAAAGAAGATACTGATAAAAAATGAGAATTTGAAAGGACGTATTTTCTATACATTGACTGAATGCTATGAAAGGTGAAAGTGGAAGTAATACCACTCTTGCCACTCCATTATATGCCAGGAAATCGAAGCAATAAAAAGGTAGACTTTGAACGCAAGAAAGGATATAGACATAATATGTGAGGATTTGATAAAAGGTCATCCAATTTGTTTCCCGATTTTGCTATACTATAATATAATGTTTGTCAACAAAATTATGTTATAAGAAAGAACTAAGAATGGGAATGCATGAAAAAATAACCTAAACTTTATTGCAACTACCAACTTTTTCAGAGCTCCTGGCAAAGACTACTTGAACGGTCTAGGATAAATGTGAATAATATTTGAATTGATTTATAGCCATTCTCCTCAGCTTCGATAAGATAATAAACAAACATGTAAATGCTTCCTTTAGTTCCCTGAGAAACGTAGGTCTTTATCTAAATGTCATAACAAATCATGATACAGCTAAAAAGCAAAATGCTTTTATTTTAAAATTTTTGTTCATTTCAGTATTACAACTTTTATCACTAACAATGTCACTTATAATTAGTACTTTCATCTACAAATATTAAAGACTGAGAACCAAAAACAACTTGGCACAACTACATATTAACAAAGAGAAATGTGTGTGGGTTGATCAAAATAAGTACAATGCAATAAATTGCTTACACCAGAAGGTAGGATCCTTCTTCATTAAGCCACCACTCTGTAAATGACATGAACTGCATTAAAAATAATAACACCAACTCCTCAACAAAGTACCTTTTCTTTTAAATACAATACTGATGATAAGCAAAGTTGGAGCAAAAGTTCATTACCAATGGGAAATTTTATTTTCATAATTTTGAAGTATAGCAATTACTATCAGATGACAAGAGACTCTTGGCATATACAAAAATGTAGATATAAGAACAGCTGATACTCGCTCTAAAATATAAAATCTGGGGAATAATCAAAAATACTGTATTCAAAAAAGTGACGATTAATTTTTATGAAATTCAAATACTTCTTGCACTACTTAGAAAGTCAATCAATAATAATAAAATTACATTTCTGATACTTACATAAGGGATAATTTCATTCATTGAAAAATTTCATTAATAAAGTCCTTGCACAAGAAAAGCGACACATCTCAAAAATTATTTTGCAGAATGTTTTTAATCTCAGAGGAGCCATTCATGTTGTGACCAAATACACAAATATAGTGTGTTACTCTATATTCTAGCCGATTTATGAATTATTATGTTTATGCTATTTTTACAAGTAAAAACATATTATTTTTTAATGTATTTCTTTATCTCATCCAAATACAATGAGTTTATAAACATTAATTTTCTTGGGCACAGACATATAAGAAGAAACTTCCTATCTCGAGAAAAATAAACTAATGTGAAAAAAAAGGTAAAATAAATTTTTCCAAAACTGTGAAGATTTAATGTAAGCAAATGTTTTAGAGAAAAAGAAAGCATGAAGGACGTAAAAGTAATAATTTATTGAAGTTTTATGAGGGAATAAAAGAAAAACCAAAATTCAAGAAAACACTTATTTTTCAAGATTGTAAATTTGTATGTGTAAACAAATATTGTTTTACAACAAAGACTGCATTTCATTTTCCTTGATACTTTCTTCACTGAAAATTCTGATATTTTCTACAACGTAACACATACTTACCAAAACTGTGTTGAATATTATTGACTACGATATGGAATCAAGGAATGGGAATGAAAATTAAAGGTATATAATAAAACGTTAAAGACGACACTGATTTTTTTCATATGAATGTTTAATGAACTAGCCTGGGTGAATGTTGGACAACCTTTACACAAAGCTCTGACCATACAAACCATCTGCTAAGGTCAACCGTATACCACACATTACAAGCACCTTCCAACATTCTTTTCAGTAGCGCACCAACATAGCTAGCAAGCTCACAGGCTTGCCATGCCTAGCTGGCCAGTGGTAAAAACAAGACACCCTTTTCAATAAAGGACTTCATAATATTTTTCTTTCAAAATCATCATACACATTCACCAATCATAATCATCATCACAAAATGTTCACAATCAAACCACAGTCTTGAGTATCGCTCAATGTGAGCTATCATTGTGTTGAGAAGCAGCAGCAGCAGTAGCAGTGATGCCAATGCGGCGGCCTCGCTCACGCAGGACTAGGAGGAGCGAGGTTGGCGCTACCTAATCGGACTTGAGACAACTACAGAGATACCGTACATAGTACTAATGGAGAAAAATTAAAAAATTAACATCACTGCACTTTTAATAATAAAGAATTTGAGCAAAAAACATGATTCCTTTTAAGAAGCTCTTTGAGGGGGGAGGGGAAAAGAGATAGAAAAATTAACAAGTTTGAATAAAATGCTACCAAAAAAGCCACCCCTTATGCCTGTACAATGGTTTTCATAGTTCTGTGTTTCTGCCCCCAGCCCGTCCTCTTTCCCCACCCCAACAGCCAACATTTCCTTCAAAAAACAAAGTTTTGGCCCCTCATTAGCTAAACATTTTTCACCCCTGTTTAAAAATCCCAATCAGTCTCCAAAGAGGCGAAATGACGCTTTCTTCAATAACAAAATAGCAGCATTTTCCACCACGGTGTATAATATATATCTGTACATTAGGTAGTAGTATACAATAATAAGAAGCCACGTAGTCTATTAACTTCTTGAGTATTATACGATATATAACATTGCTTTACAAAAGGAGGATTCAAAGCTATTTGCAGCACACCATTTCTAGAAGCAGTAGCAGCTGAAGATTTAACGAATGCAATGAAAAATTCAAATTGTTCCAATTTATATACTAACATATTCAGGGGATGAATAGTGCAGTTATTATAACATGAACTCTGAAAAACTAGCGCCACATGTGCTAAGCTCCTCCACAAAAACTGAGAATCGAAAAAACTTGAAAAAATGAAAGTCAACATGACATCAAGAAACAATATCACAAGGGCCCATTGAATCTTCCTCACACTATTAAAGACAAGTAAAACATCTGGAATTTGAAAGACTCAACATCACAGTGCTACAGGCAGACCAGACAGGGTAAGGTCACAGACACTAGCCAGAGAAGAAGCTCGCATCAGAAAAATGTAGTAGGTGCTGGGTGTTCAAGATACAGCAAGGGGGGAGGTTCACCTCCACTATCACCAGTGTTCTCATCTTCTACGTAGCCATACTAAGAAATCCACATTATATTTGGCGAAGCTTAGCAGGCTGGAATATGAGGAGCGGACACTGCTACTGCAGTCCTCTGGTGCAGTTAGATGCTCCACCTCCAGCTTCAGATCTGGATACACGCTGAGCCACACGTGCTAAAGTTCACAATCTTGATGAGAATGTTCCCTATCTTCACAGGGCAGCACAAACTGTCAGGACTACAATGCCAATGACTCAGGAATCATGTACACATTGTTCTGGGACACAGGAAGGATAGGATTTAGGCTCAAGCACTGCCAAGGATGATCGACCAACAGCACTGGCAGTTCTATGGGAAACAAATATGGATAGTTCAGAGAAGGAACAGAAATGAATATACAAACTAACACAGTTCTCTATTCCCCTCTAAAAGGAGTTAATTTTGAACTTTGTCTTCAAGATGGGAATGAATTCTAGAGAAGGAGGAGGTGGAACCAGGTGTCGATTATTTCCATGCAGAGGGGGACCAGCAGTGACTAGTCGTCGATAGGGCTGTATAAAGCTGGATGTTACAGGCGTTTTCCGAAAAAATATATCTCTTGGGTCGGCGTGTGCAGGACTTGATGCTGTAGGAGATCTGGATGGGGAATGAGGAGAATGGAGTTCGAGGAGAGCATTGTCGCCGGCTGAGACAGACCGGCGGGGCTGCCACTACTAACTACCAGCTGAATGCACTGTTGCTGCCATCGACACATGGTCATGAGAAGGCATGGGGTACATAGAAGGTGGCAGCATGGCATTACTGCTGGGTACAGTCATAGGGGCAGTGACAGGTGGAGGACCCATATGTTGCAAGGGAACCATGGCAGGCATGGTTTGCATCATTGGCATGCCTGGGACGACACTCTGCACACCTGGCATTCCAGGCATAGGGTGCATCCCAGGCATTCCTGGCATCACAGGCATTCCAGATATGACTTGGGCAGGAACAGTTGCTGAGTTCATCCCATTATTGCCAGTGGGGCTCAACAACTGTTTGTTGAAACACGTCCGTAACGTGTCTTCAATAAGAGTTGCAATTTTCTCTCGATCAGCCTGAAACATTGTGCTTGCTTTAGAATGCGCATTGTGGAAATGAAATCAGAACAGCCTTTTAAATACAAAACTGAAGGGAAGATAAATGATATCTATAATTTAGTGCCAATGCATTGCATACCAACATTTATCCAAAAGTGAATTTCTAACATGGCACAAGATCTTTAGAGAAAATAAACAACTATTTTTAAACACAATATACCAGTAATGTGTTAGTAAAAATATAAATATTCCATTACTTCAGAAAACTTGTGGTAAACAAAAACAAAAACCTATCCACTTCAAAACATACATTCTGAACATTCTTGATTTCTTAAACTAAAAAAAGTTGTCATATCAAACTTTTACTGAATGTGTAAAATTTTGATTGTTACCTCGTTAATGAAGCCAAAATGTACCAGCTCATGAGCCAATAGTAATGCAGAGTCCAGCTCAGACACCAGGCATGTCAACTGCCGATTCATTTTGTCATCCATTCGTAGCAAAAGGGTCATCTGAAGGCAATGCACAGTCATATGTTAAAAATTTCTTACAAAAATTGTGGAAAGTTCATTGAAAGATTTATATGTACAAAGCACGTTAAAAGTAGTAATTTCTGACAACTATTTTAATAGATGAAGTAAGGTATTTCAGGTGGGGGTCACATGAACTTCAGGTTTCTTATTTGTTTCCCATTACACAGTGATCTAAATGGGAGAGGGAAATAGTAAAGTAGTAGTATGAGGGAAATAATAACGAAAAACCGGATAATGGATGTTTGTACAACAGGGAATAGAATAATTACCGTTACAAAATACAAATATTATGGATAGAGCAATTTGCATTTTACAGTTAAGTACATCATGAATGAAGCATTGTAAAATTGCAAGTGAATGTTTCATTCAACACGAAAATTTCTAGATGAAAGAATCAGACATGTTAAATAATTTCTTTGAAAAAATTTATAATATACAACAGATGTGAAGAAATGTCAATATTTACAACTACTCACAGAAAGGTCTGCACCAGAGTCCTTAGGTTTGACGTTGCACATCATGTTGACAACACGCCTGTTTTCCACATCTACTGGCTCAGGGGTTACTGACTTAACTGACTCTGCCAATTCCGGTGAGATGGCACGAGGGCGAGGAGGAGGAGGCTGACGTGCGGCATATGCTGTCAGGGGGTAAATGCCGAATCTGTAGGGAAAATAAAAATCTTTTTATTATCTTTCTTGATGAACATATTGACAAGGTTTTCTTAAAAATAGAAATGAACATTAGGTTCATTACATCTTACCTTACATTAATTCACACAAAATACAAAAAAATTACAATTTTATAATTGTAAACCAATCGACATCTACATGCCTCATTTACTGGTTAACTACAGTTTCTTTGACAACACAGAAAAACACATGTATGCAAATAACACCGAAGAATGAACAAATAATATGTTTATCACTGCACACACACACCAACAACAAAGAGAAAGAAAACACCATTAAGAACATTTAGTAATTCTAATAATGAAAGATAACTTACAAGTCATGTCTGCACATGATGAAAAATTTCACATAAATAAATCCAATCATCGCATTATTATTTCACTCATTCTTAATGATTTTTGAAGAAAAACTACATGACTTTGACTACAATTTTCAGAAACAAATTATTGTAAAAGAATTCAATTAAAATTTCCATTTTAAGTACCTTCCATTAACTGCATCAAAAATGCTTCTAATAAATAATAAACTATAATTTCATATTTTTCCATTTAATTTGAAAACTAAACTGTTTAAATGTAAATTTTTATAATAAAGTTTAAAAACTGATTAACTGCCCGCAGTAAAATACATGTGATAGAAACTTGAGTACATGACATAAAACGTGACATACATTTTTGATGTTCATAAATAGACCTATCCATCTTCAAACAACATCATACTCTAGTTAAGGAACTTCTGACATTCAAAGCTATCACAAATATAAACTAAATAGAATTATTACAAAATTACATTGTAAAATTATCCTGCCAATTGTTCAAATAAGGATATTGTAAATGACATTAAATAAGTGGCCTATTGAAACAGCCATTATAAGACACTGACTATTTGCTTTTATTAATAAATAGCTGCCTCAAGGTCTATTGCAGATACGTACTTGACATCCTCAACAAATTTTTCGAGCTTCTCAGCAGCAGGCACGTCAGAGAGTCGCAGTTGCGCTGGCGGCCGGCCATCAGGATGCAGGACCTCTGCAAGCACCAGGTCAGGTGACTGCAACCGTGCTGCCACCTCTTCCGTAACAGTCTCTGAAATGCTGCCTCCTAAAAAGAAAGTACAAATTTAGAAGTCAGAGAGGCTCAGTGTATTCAAATTATACATATTCAATTCTTCCTAAAGCATGTACTGTGTAATTCAATGTTTTAGTACCCATAAAGGCTTATGCATCAAATATTTGATTTAATAATATAGGTACTACATTAATATTATTTACAAAATACTTAGGGACACATGTTTTACAGAATGGTATATTTGCGTTATATTGAGTTATACTTTGAATTTTCTTATGTTGCAGCTATCATCATTTCCACATTGGTGAATTTTTATTAATTATATAATTTAATGCGAAACAGGGAATATAATTTTTTGGTCTATACCAGAGGTCTCCACACATTCTTCTATTGAGGTCCTGATAGGAAGTTTTTAAGAGCCTTGAGGGCCAAAAATTAAACTTCCTAATATGCTGGAATTTATTGCCTATATGTTAAATTAAATTTAAATTAAAGAATGAAAAAACAGTTAACAATTCACAAATTCATTCTTAAAACACTAATGGGCATATGATCATACAATACTAGACAAATTATTTGTATTTAAAAACCTTGAGGGCTACAATTTTAAAATTTCAAAATATAATTACATACACCTAAGCAATGAAATTATATTTTAGACTAACAATAGGTTAATTTATGGCTCAATTTTTGTTTCATCTAATTTTAAAATGATTCATGAATGTTCATCACTTAAGTTACATCTGTGCTTATACTTCACATACTTCATTTTCGAGAAAGTCTGTTCACATCTATAAATATTCCAAAAACCGACAAGAATCTTAAGGACCATTGAGAGTTGTTTGTAGAATTCAATAAAATTTCTTTTTTGGAATTTGCCTGCATTGCATCATCACCTTTGAGATTAATTATTTCCATTAGTTTAGGCTTGCTTAGTATTACATGAAAATGGGATCTGAAGAACACTTACGTCCAAGTACGAGAGTTAAGATCCAAGCAATTAATTCAATTTTTGAATAGCATTTTCAGCACTTAGTAATTTAAAGGTAGAGTAGTGACGAAGAGATTTAGTACCAATCTCTTTTTGATAAAATAATTTCTATCTAAATGCCTTGGTATGAGTGTACAGGTCACATTTTAGGTTATTTTTTCCTTGCATTTTTCATTAATTTTATTTAAATAAAAAACAATTGTTTAAATGAAAGCCGATTTCCATAACCACTCTTTGTCAGATAACACTTTATTTGGTTGAACCTTCTCTGCCTGGAATATTAGAATATCTGTGCACAAAGAAAAGAAACTACTCAGGAATTTGTGACAATTCAACAATTTTAGCGCAGTATTATAGGAAAAATGAGGTTTCAGTGATTCTGTTTGTTGTAGAAGTCTTGAAGTAACAGTGTCATAGTCCATGTGAGCAGAAGACATGACCTCTGATTTTCCACATAGTGCCTGTTGATGAAGATCATATTGTATTGGCATGGGTTTACTAATTCCTTTGAATTCACACTCTCCATTAAGTTTTCCAAGAACACCAGTTTTTGTGCCACACACATTCATTCCACCATCTGTAGTGACATTTCAGTAGGGACAAATTCAGATTATTGTTATTTACAGATTACAGTAATTCTTTGAAAATATCTTCCTCAGTAGTATTTCCATACAAGCTAATGACATCAAAGAATCCTTCCATAACCTCAAAGCTAGTCCTGATTGCTCTTATAAACAATAACACTTGTGCTACGTCTGTCATATCTGTTGACTCATCAGAAGTAATGCAAAAACAATAAAACTTTTATGCTATATCAGTAAGTTGAGAAGAAATGTTGGAAGCTTTCTTCTATTCTGCATGCAACTTTGCTGGATGAAAGACAAATGTGATTTCCAATGCATACCAAAATAATGTAACATTTAAATAAAGAAGAAAGCGAGACAGTTCAAATTTCCATCATAAGTAAAGATAAATTATTAATGTACCATAAAAACTTATTAACAGATCCAGCCGGGAACTGCAACAAGGAGAGGCCGAACCATTGCATGTAGATCCAACTGAGCTAACTAAAAGAACTAGAAGCTGCATTCGATTGCTTCAAGAACAAAAAACACACCAACATAGATGGAATTAATATATAATTTTTTTAAATATAGGTCAATATAAATGAAAGAAAGATTTCTGTATCTTTTAAATGTGTGGTGGACTTCATATAAAGTACCAGAAGAATTGACAGTGGGAATGATATCCCCCCATCCCCCCATTTTCAAGAAAGGATAACTAGAAGATCACAACTGCAGGGAAATCAGCCTTTGAACACTGCCTAAAAATTTACGATAAAATTATAAAGCAAAGGATGAATGTCATTAACAAAGTTATAGGTGGAGAACATCCATTTAGCTTTAGGAGAGGGCAATGATGTGCAGATTGCATCATCATAATACAGCAGCTAATAAAAAAGCAAAAGGAATTCAACCTCCCTACCTACATTTTCTCTTCTTCGTAGATTTTGTAAAAGCTTTTGATTTTGGGTCAAGGAAAGACCAGTAGGAAATTCTTAATATACAGGGAATTCTGAACTACCTGATAAAAGTTATGAAAAGCTTGTGTAGTGATAATAAAATTCAACATGGGAACAAGAATCAAGGAAAAATACGCAATAATAAATAGAGGATTAAAACTAGCACATCCACTGTTTCCTAACCTTTTTAATTCATATAATGACAATGCTGTAAAGGAATGGCAGAGAGTTTTAAAGAAAGCATTAAAGTTTCTTACGAACAGGCATATGAACAATTTTATTTGCTGACAACCAGGTTATTTTGGAAAACTAAGGATAGATTGCAGAATGTCATATAGACCTTACAAAATATATTACAGAATTGAGTTGCAGATATCGACACAGAAATTTGAAGCAATGGCTGGACAAGCAACATTTGAGGTGTAAATAGTTGTAGCACACATCTCACTAGAAGAAGTGTCAGAACCTTGGACATAACATCTCTTATTACAACAAGAATGACGTCCAGAAAAAACCCTGATAAATTTCAGGTAATGTGTGAAAGAAATCTTAAGAACAATGTAATGAGGGGCACACAAATTAAACTTTACAAGGTGATGACAGTTCCTGTACTTTAATATAATTGCAAAAATTGGAGCATGAATCACATCGACAGAAGGGAAATTGAGGCTGTTGATATGAGATTTCTAAGATCTGTTGCAGAATGTACACTTCTAGACCAAATAAGAAGCAAAAACATCAGAAATGAATTGAAAATTTTCAACCTCAATATGAGACTCCTAGAGCAAGAAGAGAAATGGTTACATTATATCCAATGAATGACTAGCGAGAAACTACCAAATAAGCTCCTCCAGTACGCACCTCAAGGAACTCAAGATCTAGGTAGACCCAGAAGATGGAGAGATGATATTTTGGCAAAGGAACAGGCCAAAGAGCCAAGTCAGTGATCATGCTTTCTTTTTTAATGAATAGTTTAGTTATTTCTAATTAAAAAATAAGGTAACTAACTTTTCTGACTGAAAAATTGATTTTCTAAAAGTTAACATATGATGAGTATTCAGTGTCTAGCCCAAATACTGTAAGTACTACCTAATAGTGAAGGGCAAGAACAATAATCTAAATTAGTAAAAACTTGTGAATTATGGTCTTAATAAAAAGCTATTTTTGAAAAGGCAGTAATGCATACTAGAGAAAAGAACAAACAGATAGATGAATAAATAACAGGAGAGACAAGGGAAAAAAGGAAAGCAAATGCAAATAATGAAATATGGGAAAAATAAATTAAGGAAGACGAGAGCGATCGAAAGGAAAAAGAGGGATCCAAAGGAAAAAGGGGCACCGAAAGGAAAAAGGGGCACCGCAAGGAAAAAGGGGCACCGAAAGGAAAAAGGGGCACCGAAAGGAAAAAGGGGGGCCGAAAGGAAAAAGAGGGACCCGAAAGGAAAAAGAGGGACCCGAAAGGAAAAAGAGGGACCCGAAAGGAGAGATGCGTCGCCGCCGCGCGGGGGCCTCCGCTCCATACCACGACTACTCTCACCGCGCTCTCCCCCTCACTCGCTCGCGACACACACCACGTCTTCTCACGCACGCCGACGCCCCGCGTCGGCGGGCGGGCAGGCGCGGCGCGGGCGGGGCGGCGGCGCGGCGCGTGGCCGCAGCGGCTGCCGCCGCCGCCAAGCGCACCGCACCGCGCCGCGCCCAACGCGCGCCGCCCACTCGGCGCGGCGCGAGGCGTCGTCTCCGTTTGTTTTGCCGACGCGCTATCGGTGCCAGTGCCGCTTCCGTAGGCTTCCCCCGCTGGAAGGGCCCCCGTCGTCGCGCGCCACCGCCGCTGCCGTGCCCGCCGCCCAATGCGCGCCCGCCCGTGCTGAGCAGAGTCATCGGACGGCGCGGCCCCTCCCGTTCGCTGCGTAACGCGGGCGGGCGGGGGCTTGTGGCGGGACGGGCGCCGCCGGGCGAGGGAGCACCCGGCGCGTCCGCGGGCGCGGTCTGGGCGACAACACGGCGTTTAGACCTCTAGCCCACAGAGCTTTTCCACAATAGGATAAAATAGAGATTATATATCATATAGATAGGATTACTTAATAACAATATATAAATATATTAGTGTGAGAGTATAAATCACCAAATGGCGGCTTATATGAAGAGCAAGTATACGTATCAAGGCAAAGGTAATACGTATTATTTGTTTGCTTTTATTTCTTTTTTGCTCGTGATGACACACAAGTAATGTATGTAGAATATGAATTATTATTCTTTGCAAATATAGGATAGTAGAGAGATTGCTTCTTTTAAGGAGGACTTGTGTGTGACTTTTGCAGCACTACTTTGGTCGGGAGGGGCGCGGTGGCTGGCGGCGCGGCGGCGGGGCGGGGGGCGGGGCGTGGCTGCGCCGCCGCCGCGCCGCGCCGCCCCGCGCGCGAACCCACCCCGTCCCCTCCCGTGCGCGACCCTCCACGGGCGGCCTGCCGCTCCCTGAGGGAGAAACTTTACCTGATCCTATTTTCAGCGAAGGCCA